ACGAAAGAAGAGAAAGCAGCTGCACTTCACCACGATTCTGGAGAACGTACCAAGTATTACATCCTGTGCGAACTTTGGGAGAGAAGGTGCGCACTCGAGGGCCCTTTGTCAATACCGGCAAATCCATGATCATGTTATTGGCTGTGGCGTATGTCGGGTACTTCACCTTTTAAGTACGAGTTCACCCACAAAACTCAAAATGGTTGAGGCGGTGCTATTTTTCACAGAAGCCACAGTCAAAGTAAGGGCTGAGAGGACGCGCAATTGTTAGGAAGAAGAACAAGGAGACGGGAGTCCCGATCATGCGTTCTAGTTCATCTTATCGGCCCGACACGACGACCCTGATTGGCTCCAGCGTATAATCCGCCGGTCGGAAACGCCAATTTGACTGTCATCACCTCCGTCTCCACTGCGACAACACCTGGGCATCCACAACATCCACTGATCTCGTTAACAAGCTACTGGAGTCGACTTATTTCGGGTAACGTTGTGCAAGCTATACGCCGGCTGTATGATGCCTATCTACAGAGAACACAGCCTCCCAAGGTCTTGTCGACGGAACGCCCTTTTCGGAAACGTCATGGCAACAAGATTGGCATCGGCCGGTGACGTCTTCGCTATCGGGAAGCTGTATATAGAGGTAACGTTTAACTGAGTGGAAGATCATCTCGTTCTATATCTAAGATTCGCTCCAGAACGGCCATCCTATAAACACCTGGTGAAGCGTCGGGAACAGTTTACATCCATCGTTTCGAGCAAGCTTCAAGATGCGTTCTCAAGCGCTTCTTGCTCTCTCAGGCCTCTGTAAGTATCAGACCAAGCTTACCCATTACTCAATCGTTGTTCGATGGACAAAAGCTAATTCAAATCAGGCCTTGCGTGTCCCGCCTTTGCCGGAGTCGTCTCGCGTGGATCAGAAGCATCAATCGATCTAACACCAACCAATGCATCTACAACCGGCAAGGTCAAGGCCGATATCCGAGCTGATACCAATCGGGACGGCACGGTCGACATCACAGACGTGGAAGACTGCGAGGACTGCGACGGCAAGACCGAGTGGACTGCCGACTATGGAGCCATCTTTCTCCCCAACATTGGAGACACGAACAAGCGTTGCTCTAACGCCCTCCTCGACGGTCCTTCAGTCAGCAACGAGCGAATTGATGCTTGCAACGATGCTTCTGACAATGTCATGCGCTCCGAGCAATATCTCGCTCCGCTCCGCACAGTTCCACTGCCTGAGCTTCCCGATGACGCTCATGGTCGCATCTACATCAAAGATCCCGTGCAGCGCAAGTATGTCCGCATCTTCCACAAGGCGAGAGAAAACAGCACCTGGAGCTATGTCGACGGCAATTCCACTTTCAGCGCAGCCGCTCTGCGTGAGGGTCTTGTCCTCGGTGTTGACGGACGCGACACCCGCCGACCCAATGGCTGGGACGGCCGCGTCACCATTAGTTTCGATGTCGAGAGCTCCATCGGTGTCTCTTCTGACGATGTCATGCTTCGCACTGCACCTGTCCTCACCCATACTCATCTCGACCCTGTGCAGCAGGTTATTGCTGTCAAAGGTAACGAGACTGGCAATCCATGGATCCTCCGCTTCACCGACGCCCTTCAGACAGCCGTCAACAAGTCAGGCCTCGAAGAGGAACTCTACCTTTTCTCCGGAAGCGATGATATCTGGGCGCAGGACTTCATGGAGCCTGGCTTCGCTTCAATGCCCGGTCCCGACGGACCCATCACCCTGCGTATCATGATCCGTTCTCCCCAGGACGAGCGCGTTGCCGGCAGACAGCTCTTCGAATACTACCGCGACACTGGTATCGGCGCTGTCCAGCAGCTCGGTGGTGCCCGCGATGAGATCAACTCCGGTGGTAACATCGAGACCATTCCTCCCTACGAGTTCAACGGCACTAGTTGGCCCGCCGGTCGTCTGATTCTTGGCAACCATGGCGAGCAGAAACACTTCATGCTTCCCTTCTTCCAAGCTCAAGAGACACAAGATCCCCTTCTTCTCGATACAGACTGGCTGGTCATCGGCCACGTTGACGAATTTATCCAGTTCATCCCTGTCGATTCGCCTCGTGGTTGGGTCGTCATGGTCACCGATCCCATGATGGGCGTCGAAATGCTCCAGCAGCTAAAGGACAGCGGATACGGCTCAGAGCACGCCTTTTCGCGCAAGAACGATAGCCAATCATTCGATAACTGCACCTCCGATTTCGCCTGTGCTGCTATTCCCGTTCCGCCAATCACTATTAATGAGTTGCTTGCCAATGAGGACCTCATGTCCGTGCAGAAGCGCTGCGCCGAACGTATTGAGGGCAATCTGCAGATCCTCAAGGAAGCAACAGGAGTTACTGACGACGAGATCATTCGCCTACCTGAGATGTTCAACGGAAATCCTTTTGGCGACCTTTCCGCAATTCTTTCCGGTAATGCGACAAACGGCTCGACATTTGGCGCAAACTCTACCGGTAACGCGACAGATGAGCTGAAGGTCGGTGCGCTCTTCCCCGGTGTTATCAACGGCATTGTCTTGACCGACTTTGACACATACATTGCCCCCAACCCCTGGGGCCCCGTTGTGAACGGAACGGATGTTCTTGCCGAGAAGCTCAAGTCGCTGTACGCCAGTGTGGGCATGGATGTTATCTACATCGACGACTGGAACACACATCACAACTACGGCGGCGAGGTTCACTGCGGTACCAATACCGTGCGCGATATGAGTAATGAGTGGTACTCGTCGTGGGTATCCGATTATTGTGATGATGAAGGCGGAGATGACGATGACGAGGAAGGCAATGGCGAGATTTACTAGGCTTGACTATGTCGTGCAGATACCGGCCATGACATTCATGTTGCATTCATCTGCTCGTATCCAAATCAGCAGCTTCCTTCACCATCTTTGTCTACGTTTCTACTTGAAAAATATCTCGAAGGCTGCGACGACGTCTCGTCGACTCAGAGTGATCTGTTCGCACATGTACGTGTATCTAGGTAGCATTCATCTTTGGGGTACTCGGGTCAAAAACGTCGCTTGAGGAAGTAGATCCACGCGGTGTGAGATATAGTGACTCACAGTAGCTACAACGTTTCATTTCCTTCATATATCAAATCGCCGATAGGGAATAAGGAACTGCTGCTCTTTCGCGCTGGTCGACCTTTCATTGCTACAAACGAAAAAAAGCCTGGACCTGTGTAGCCTTCACGCGCCAGCAACTTAAGTATGTACCCAGGGGGCTCCACTTTGGACACAATTTAACTCTCACCCATACCTCCACCAGCGTTCGATTCTACCCCGATGATCTCGAAGCTCTTGGCGCTCGGTGCGGTTCTTCTCGCCTCTGCCACCGCTGACGTCTTCGACTCGTCTTACTCCAATGTCTCCAGCGCTGCTATCGACGAAGACAGGATCGAAACCGCCGTATTAGTTGACACCGAGACGACAGAACCCGCCGATGACGTTCTATGGAATGCTGCCTTAACCAAAGGCCGGATGTTGATACTAGCCACGAGCTTGAACCTTCCAGAGGCTATTAAACTCTATCTACCAATGGAAACTCCCTGGGATGGAACCCTCAAACGCGAACTAGCACTTTGGGGCTACTCGGAACCTGACTACCCGGAAGTTGAAGACTCTGACGAAAACTGTGTCATGGGGAAAGAAAACCACGGCCTTCAAGATATGCTCAAAGAGCTACATGCAGATGATAGAGATTCACGTGATGGAGGGGACAACATCTGTCACACAATCCAACATCAAGACGGGCCTACCTTGGAGAAAGATGAGAACGGTGAAGTACCAGAAGATCCTAAGGAACAATACTACAAAGTTGAAGGGCGCAGATACAGGGTATGTGAGCACGTACAATTTGATGTGGCTAAAACTTCACGCAATACAGCTAACATAGCTCTAGGTTACCGGCGCGGATTCTACCATTGGTATAAATCCAAAGGCTGGTATTATCTTCTTTCTGACCCTTGAGAGCCCCACGTACGCGGCGAGAACGCTATGGAACGTACCCTCCGTCAAGCCGGACGAAATGCCTAAACTCCAAAGAACCTCGGATCTTACCTGGGGTCTCTGGAATAGGCATAGCAAAGAAAGCCTGTCCAACATCAACTACTTCTTCACGGTGGCAGTTGTGAACCCGGAAACGCGCAAGATCATCAGTAGAGCCATGGGACAGAATGCTGTACCGAAGGCTCCAGGATACACCTTTAGAGCTGACAATGAGAACTTCATTGCTCTGCTGGGTATGTATACGATTGCAGCTTTCTTCGATATGTTCACCAGAAGCTCTCAAGTTCTCAACAGTCACAGGATATGCACTAACTACCAGTCTCTAGGTTCGCCGAACCTTGTGATGGTAATGTATTTCCTCCTCCAACACAAGAAGCAGTTTGGCCACAATCGATGGGTTACTGAGATCCGTGTTTTCATACCAAATGGGGATTTGAATACGGTTTCGATGCTTGTAAAGGTTGAGCGAGCGCCCCCGACAGAACCTCCCGAGCCCGTTGAAGATCCAGATTGCGCAGAGAAAAGGTCGTTGAAGAGTGCGGCAGTCTCACCGCTGAATATCGATAGTTGGAAGGGTGGCGAACGCGCGAATTCGACCTTCGAGGAGGTGAATCTGGTTAGAAGACATATCATATGGGCTTAGACTCGGTCACAAGCGATAGACATAGGCTTCACATGGTGAGTTCACATCAGATGCTTTGGCAACTCCACTGATGGAGCATCTCATGCAAGAAAAGAACTGAATATCTATCTCCTGAAAGTCTACACTACCCCAGAATTTTGTCCACCTCATCTTGTACACTAATGTAGTCGGCAGAACACGTTTCCACATCTCAATCCTTGTACTTGCACAACGTAGCCATTGCGCATTGTTGACACACGAGCTCCTATTCTAGACAGTTAAGTGATTGCCCGCTTCCTTTTCACCCACCACACCACGTTCTCGACCGCGCATCGCCAGACCAGGATGCCTACAGAGTACGGCGACGAAACCGTTGCTGAGCTCGAATGGCTCCCGCCGAAACAAGAATATATTGCCAACCTACGCTCAGTCGCACCTCCAGCGGACGAGCCAACGTGTGCTATATGTCGTGGTGAGTGGGAGTATCCGGCCCAGGAAGTCGTCGAGCCAAGCCCTCACTGCTCTCGACATCCTCTTCACAAAGACTGTCTTCTCATAACCTTTGCAACGGAAGACGGAGAGGAAGTCAGCAATCTGTGTCCATTTTGCCGTCGCGAGCTCTTCGAGAAGATCACACAGCCGCCTGCGAAGCCCCCGAATAACCCGAACAATACTTACCAGCAAACTACCCAACTCTATGACGGCCTTGTGGCACTTCATATCCAGATTGAATACAACGACGACAAAACCGAAGATCCACGGCTGCTGTATCCTTCTGGTCCAACTATTGAGGACGCCTTGCAGAAAGACGGTTACTGGTCTACTCTTCCCCGTTTCTTGGACGAATGGCACCACCGCAATGCATCTCAGATTATCGAGCAGACAAAAAGCTATAGGAAACCACTGTCGATCGTGGATGTGGGTCGCACTGTGGTTACTGTGTTCTTTGGCAATGGCGAGCCACCATCTTGCAGGATTACACGTCTCACAGATGAAGGTCGCGCAGCTATCACTGCGCTCTTTGCGCACGAACCCGACATCGAAGAGTTGTATCTAGAGGCTACGGAACTACTAGATCACCAACAAGGCGAAATTGTCATGCAATGTATCCGCGCTGCTCTCATATACTACGACCAGTCTGCCTTCCCCCAACACGTCGAGGATTTGCAGGGTAAAACTCGTTGGCTCATTGCCTACCATGTTCTTACTTCTCTATTAACCGGACGCAGACGCACTGATGAGAACTGTTGGTTTCGAGGAACAAATATCGCCCGCTGGCTCCAGCTGGTCCGTTTCCGTAAGATGCTGCACCGAGGAATCAAGCACTGGGCATCACCGACCTTCTTCGCCAGCCAACCCCCACTCGAGATAAATTTTCCTTACGGTCACCTTATGGGTGTTACCGAGGGCTTCGGCGAGCATGACTTATTGGAAATACAGTATTTCCGGCCCACCGATGCAGAGCCGTATCGAACTCGTATTGGACGCATCGATCGTGGTTATGAAATGATCATAAAGGAGGACACCTCGGTATGTCCATTAGATCCCAATCTCCCAAATGGCACTATCTTTCAATTTCTGAAGGACGGAACCTTAACAGCTCGGGAACTCAGTCCTGCCTTCCTTCATGACATTTCCTGCAACCGTGAGTAAGGTTTTTTCGATCTTGTTCACGCGAATGGGAGTATACTGAGGATCATGCGTAGGGTTATGCCATAGGGGCAGTAGGGGTGGCTAGAACTCGTGTTGCATGTTGCTAAATACATACTATCAATTGTTGACAACTAGATAGCTTCTGAGGCAGTGTACACTTGCCTGGGTACTATATTTAGCAACGTTTTGCGCTATGGGCTTACTAGTTCCCATGTGTATCCGCGATCTCCTTCTGGCCCTTCCTCACCCACGCTTTAAACGGATCCTGCACATCAGGATTCCTCCTCAACTTCTCAATCTGATCTTCGCCCGACGGCACCAAAAGCCCTCTCTTGACCGCATCTCTCTCCTCAATCTCCTCACACCACTTCTTTAGCTTCGGAAACTTGGTCATCTCAATCCCCGCCCAAGGTGCCCACCGAACCCATGTAAAAGTCGTGATATCCGCAATACTGTACTTGCCGCGGCCTTTGCCTGCGAGATAGTCTCTATCCTGGAGTCGCGCTTCTAGTACCGAGTAGAGGCGCTTTGTCTCGTTCTTGTATCTCTTTGTGCCATAGTCAATCTTCTCGGGTGCGTAGCGCACGAAATGGTTCGCTTGTCCTTGCATTGGGCCCACGCCGGCGTTCTGGAAGAAGAGCCACTGTATCATATCCATCCGCTCGTCACTATCCTGGAAGCTGAACTTGAAGTCTTTGTCATAGTGTTCGGCGAGATACAGAAAGATGGCTCCAGATTCAAAGACGGGGTATGAGTCGCGGCTGTGGTCTACAATCGCGGGTATGCGACCGTTGGGGTTGACTTTGAGAAAGGAGGCGGACTTCTGCTCGTCTTTGGATAGATCGATGGCGGTGGTCTTGTAGGGGATGCCGAGTTCTTCGAGGAAAATGGAGATCTTTTGGCCGTTGGGTGTGGCCGCTGTGAGCAGCTCGATGTTGGGGGTCGTCATTTTGTGTTTTTTCTCTCACTTTGCAGCGTCTCTGGTATGTGAGATTTCTTGAACAGGAGGCATCGATGCTGCAGTATCACTGCTTACATAGATGCGCTATACCCGCACTACCGCTGGTCCCGTGGGCTCGTATCATGATGACGTATGCTTGAAATAGCTGAAGAAGACGTCATTAGGGTCTGCTGTTTGACTGCTAGCATTCCGAAGGTAATTGAATATTTCCATCAAAAGAATGCATTCGAATTGAAAGAGCAGTCGTTCAGCTTGCAATGTAACAAAGAAGTGGAGAGCTCTTCCCACTTTCAACGCGCGTTGGCATTCGGGTTAGCGCGGCGCTAGTCCACGCTCAGGTGTCGCGTGCCTCCCGCGACCATTATCACCACGACGCAACACCGAACTGGATCTCTTGTGACACATGAACTCCTTCCTTCTCTTCTATGCTGCAGGTTCAAACAAAGAGGATATCTCTCGATCGCCGATAATGTACTGGTACGCCGATGCATAGCCATGCCGTTCGTTTCGCGTGGTGGTCTGATTTTCTTTCGGCTTTAGTCCCATTTGGCCCAAAACAGCAACCATCATGCCACTTTTGAGAGCAAGATCCAATAGGTGTGTAAGGGACCGTTGCATGTGACCGATGTTGAGCGACTTTCGGGGCTTGAAATACTGCTTGTATGTGGAGGCGACGGTCCTACTCCCTCTACCGTAATTCTGTTGTTCATTCCTCGTTATTCATTCTTCCCTCCTTCTCTATCGCGCAACACTACTCTCCACAGCTTTGTGACCTTGCAGTCTATCTACCATTCGGGTAACTCGCGATACAGCCTGGCAAATCACCGTTGGAGAAAACTCAAACTTCCACCGTATAGAACCGAGATTATTCGCGCAGAGACTCCAAGATCGAGCACGAAGCACAGAAAAGCACTCGGAACAAGGTGTGCGAAACAGGCTGACTACAGAATAACGCCTGCTTCTCAAATAACACACATTGGGAACCCGAACTTCTACCGCCAGACCACATTCGACTCTTTCTCAACTTCTCATTTCAGACGAACCTTTCTGGCTCCCAACACAACAAAACCCACCACAATGCTGATAACCCGCACCTTCTCACTCACAAACTTCCTCATCGGCTCGTCAGCCCTCTGCTTCCAGATCTTCGTACTTTACCCGTGGCATGAAAAGCTAGAAGAAGAGTTCGTGGAACTGAAGAAAGAACACGCGAGGTTACTGGAGGAGACGCACGAAAGGCACAGGGGAGAGTTGAGGGGCATTAGAGAACAATTGGAGTTGGCCAACGAGCGGAGGAAGACTGGGAAGTTTTGGTAGAGTGGTAGGATTGGAGGAATTGATAGAAGGGAGAGTTTTGCTGAGGGAGGGGGAGGAGGAGCGGAAATGGAGAACGCAATGGGTTGTGGGATATCTAGACGGACGGGACATGCTACAAAGCTAAGCAAAAACATACGAACGATGTTGGAAGTACCTGTACACACCACCTGTCCAAATCCCAACCCCATCCTGTTGTCGCTACGCGGAGGACGGCATCACATTCGAATGGCAAACGGAGCAACGCGCTCCTAACGTGACTAGATATGCCCAATACTCTAGGATGAGGCACCATCATGCGAAAGTCCTATGCGTATCTGAGAATAAACACGCAGACGCAGCCAATAGTACATGGAGCGAACACAAAGTTCACGAAAGCGAATGATCTATTGAAATACCACCTCCGTTCCCTCCGCGAAAACCTTCCTTAGCCCATATAACAACGCAGAAAAAAAAACTTCGCACACAATAAACTACTCCATCCCATCGATAACTCTCCCCTTCCAATAGCACCAACGGCTTACCCTCCCTCCCTCCTGTCAAGTCTGTCAAACGCGGACCCAACTCCGCCACTCGGGGTCCATCCAATCCGTCCTAAACCCACCCTGTCCACCAACCCAAAAACAGCCCTTCCGAGCGCCGATCTTAGGGGGGGGGGGAGGGGTCCCTCCGCCCAGCAAACCAGCGGACCAGCAAAACCCCTTACCCATCCTCCTTCTCCACAATGACGCCAGCAAGGCGCGGAAACAGTAATGCAGGTTATGGTGATCAGCACGCACCAAACAAACAAAGCCGTGCAAAAGGGATCAACACGCATGCAGCGTGTGCCGAGCCGCGTGGGTTGACAACTGACGTTTGACGTGCCGCGTGCAGGTGATTAATTCGCGGCAGGCTGGCATGATGATGATGATGATGATGATGATGTGTGGTGCGGGACGGGTTGGCGTGGGATTGATTGCGAGACGCGCGTTTTGCGATTCAGACTGGAAAGGCGATTTTCACGTGCAAAGATAATGACAGGAGGTGAGTTTCGTAGTCATTCGCATTTCAGTAGATAAATGAGAAAGGAGGCAGGCGCTAGGAGACGTACAAAGCCCGTGAAGAGTATAACATGCAGCATTGGAACGGGAAATGGAATTAATAGTAGGAAATGTAACGCCTTGGTATAGTAGTGTCGAAGAAAGCTCTCAATCCGAAGCCGTCATGTCTCGGAGAGTGATGAATGGTCCTCCTTAGCAGCACTCGCAGCCCTTGTGTCCTGCTGCGGATCCGGCTGTCGCCCAGGCCTAACAACACGCCGCCTGGCCCCTCGATTGTACCTGCGTGTGCTCCCTCCCGCGCGAGAACAGATATCTCGCATGCTAAACCCCCAAAATCCGTGCCCCATAAGGAATGTGACCGTGTGCATGGCCGGCTGTGGCTGCGAGCAGCTGTCGAATCGCGGCTTCCCTGAACGAAAAAGATGAAAAGTGGTGTTCGCGACAATCCTCATAGCTTATGTCTGAATCTCCTTCTTCTCTGCGCCCTTTGGCCGGAAGACGGCGTCTTGACCTGACATGCGACGTGCGAGTGCGCGGTCCAGCTTTGCTCCCAGCGCCAGCTTGCTCATGTCGTCTGTCTTGCGCTCGTTGAGGGCGTACCGTTGTTGGACTAGGCGCTTGTCTTCGAGGCGGTCAAAACCTGCGTTCCATGTCTTGATGTCGTGTGACTTGGGGTCGCCGGCTGTTGACGAGGCTTGCGACAGGTGCGAGGGCGCGATGGAGGGTGTGAGGGTGGGTGTGGCGCTGTAGGTGGACATGCGGGTGGATGCGCGGTTGGCGGCCGACTTCTTCTCGTTAGACTGTGACTGTGCTTGTTCCGACATGGTCGCCGAGGGATGTGCGTGTTTGTGTTGGTGCGGGCGTGTTGGAGCGCAAAGGCAGGTGTTTGCGTGGTGAGTGTGAAGGGAAGGGAAGGCGCAAAGGAGTGAATGTCAAGCACGCAGTGCAGGTGCTCCTCGGCGAGCATCGACCACACGCAGGGGACGTCTGAAACGGGCAGTGGATACGGGAGAATGACTTACGTTGGCAAGCATGGGCCGCGAGGACTCAAGAGAGTTTGTCATGATGCGCGCCACGGCGAGTCCGGTGGTTAGTAGGTGGGCGGGGATAGCGTGCTGCTTGCTAGGTCGTCGGAACTGCAATCGTACGACGGCGATTGAAGGGTATAAGAGAGGGCGCACGCAAACAGAGCAGTCAGCGGCCGTTGTCCGTGCTGGGTCTGTAGAGAAAAGCGAGGAGATGGGTGTTGTAGTCGGTAGAAGTCCTGTGCTCAGCCTGCCTTACTCCTGCGCGTTTCAAAGGGCCCAGATCGGCAAGGGGCGTCGTGAGTAGCAAGATGCACGCGCAGGGGCACCACGGTTAGCGAGTCGCAACGGGCGGCGGTGATGTTTGGTAGGATTCTAAGACGTCAGCCTTGCAGACAAGCAGCGGCATGTGCGTGGTCAAGACGCGTAGCAGGAGTCTCGCCGACGAACACGACGCGATTATGTAGGCAGCGGCGGCTGTAAGCAAGGAAAGAGCGACCCCTCTACCACTCCCACCACCGGCATCATGACAACCACCAGACGGCTCTGAAACAGCCGCACGTAAGGATACTGCATCTAGGGATACTTGCATTTCGATAAAGTGCTGAGTGAGTTGCATGCAGTCAGCCTCCACTCAAGCCATTCACGCCGACCGCGACA